GGAGGGGGGCGGCCGCCGCCGCCGCCTGAGGGTCCTTCCTTTGGGAAGAAAAGGAGCCCCCCCCCCCCAACCCAACAATGGCTGGGGAAAGGCTCCCCTTCCCTGTGGAAGGAACTCTGGGAAGACAAGAACACTGTGTAGGAGGTGTACCCAGATTCGTGTTATCCAAATAAACACACAACTAGGGGCTCAGCCATTCCTAAAGACGAACGATACAGATCCGTAAGGTCTTTTCATAATAGATGAAAGAACAGGCGTGTTTTTTAATTGGTGGAGTTCCTTCCATGACACTCAAGATGCCTTCTTAACGAAGTACGAGATGGTTTCTGAGCGGTGGGGTGGGGGGTGGGGGGGTGAGGTAAAAAAACACTGTTAACTGCTGGGGCTGGAGGAGACCTTTCTCCTAGGGATCCAAGGCGTTGAGCTGGATTTGGGTTTGGCAGACTTTAAGATAAGGCCGGAGTTTCCCAGGAGTTTGGGGAAAACAAATGCTCCCTTTTTGTCCTGCAGTAAAAGCTGACGAGTCTACGGGCGCAACGCGGATGCTGTTGGCCAGGCCCTGCGCCAGGCCTTTCCTGACCTGACCGTGGAGATCAACCCTGACAAGCCCCGCAGAAACAGCTTTGAGGTGGTCCTGTTGAAAGATGGCATAAGTAAGTGAAGGGCCACTGTGGGGGATGGGTCTGCCTAGAGGGCATGCACCCACCCACCCGGAATCCCTGGTGAACAGAATGCTCAGGAACACTCTTATCTTCAGAGCTCTGATTTGTGTTATAGCCTGGAGAAGCAACTGCAGGAACCAAGTGATAAGACAGGCTCCTGCTGTGACAGAGAACCCTGATTCTCACAATGACCTCTGCATTATAGAGAGGCCTGTTAGTGGAGGCCTGTATGTGCCTGGTGTCTGTTAGAAGACTAGCCAACAGTTGAAGCATCGGGTCGCAGATTGTCTGCTGCAAGAGGGTTCCTTCAAGTGTTGGGCTGTAGGTAAGGGAAGCAGTTGTGCTCTGCATCTCACAGGGGCAAAGCAGCTCCCTTTCCCCATGAGTACGAATACTGCATTTGAAAATCATGGAATATAGATTTTATTTCCACATGATGACTACTGTGGAGTAAAACCTGCTCCTGTGCTATGCTTGTTAGCTTTTTAGGAGACAGAACCTTGCTTGACAAAAGGAGTCAGAGAATGAGACTCTAGAGCAGTGTTCCCTCTAAGCTGAGTTAGTTTGAGCTAGCTCACAGTCTTTTAGCCTCTGGCTCACACATTTTTGTCGTAGCTCAGGAAGGATGGCTCCAGAGCAAACTAATTTATGCAGTAGCCAAATCACCTGCTCACAACTTTAATGACATTAGCTCAGAAAGTAGAATTTTTGCTCACAAGACTCCATAGCTTAGAGGGAACATTGCTCTAGAGTGATGAACTTCAAGATGACCACAACAGTTCCACCAGCTTCTGCTGCCATCTAGTAACAGTCTCTTAAAGCTAGAATACTCAGTAAACAAACAACATTATCTAATACTCAAAAACACTCTTGAAGAGTATTCAGTTTTACAACCCTTTCAAAATGTTGTCAGGGTGGAGGCCTTCTACTTGTGGGGGAGGCTGTTCCATAAAACAGGAGCAGTCATTGAGAGCTAGCAGATGGGTGGCAACTGCCTGCATTTGGGGGGGGGGGAAGAGACCAACAGCGTTCTTGCGCAGCATGAAAATACTACATGGGTTTTCAGTTGCTTTGAATCTGAACTAGGTTTGCTTGGAGGTTGAGTGTCTCCTGTCTTCCCACTGGTGCTCTGGGAAACATAGGCCAGGTGCCTGCTATGGATCGCTTGTCTTTGTGGAGACAGCTGGCTGCTTAATGAATGCATGCAACCCTGCTTACAAGAACTTGGCAGAAGGAACTGCCTTCTTGATCTGCTTGTGGTTTGTTTCCAGTAATATAATGCAAATACTGCTGGTAACTGTCTTCTGCCCTTATTGCTTTTAGGGGTGGAGTTATGGAGCGGCCTTAAGAAGGGGCCACCACGCAAGCTGAAATTCCCAGAACCAAACAAGGTGGTTGAAAGTCTGAAGGGCAGCTTAGAATAAAGTGAACTGGACAGGATTGCCAAAGGTAAACTCATACAACGAACTAGTTTGCTCTACAATTTGCTGGGAATCAAAAACTACTGGACAGACCTGACCCACGGATGCAGCTCCTGTATACGGTCTCTGAATAGGACACTGTCACTTCAGGTTCTTACCATTTGGCTGCAGCAGGAAATGGTGCTAAGACATAGACCAGGCTTCATATTGATTTCATTTATTGATTTTTATCCTGTCCATTCCGGCCTAGGCTGGCTCAGGGTGGCTCACAACATTTTCCCCCCCCCCCAGCTGCCTGTTATTGCCATTCTTCCTCAAAGCAGTCTTTGGAGTTGCATAAAGCAGATATGGTGTAGGAGAATAACTACGCCATGTCTCTGCAGGTAAAAATCCTGTTGCTAATTCACCCTCTGCTGTAAGGGTGGGCCCCTCCAGCCCACGACATATTGGCCTATGTGATCTAGACTGTAGTGAGTCACATATATTGAAAAACTCAGTCTCTAGAGGAACATTTCTTTTGTAACCTCCGTGTTTCAATTAGCTGGATCTTGAGTATGAGCAAAATGAACCCATTGTTGTGGGGTTTTTTTAACTTTACTGAACACTTATTGTAGCATTTAGTCATAATCTTATACCTTGTCTATAGCAGTTCCTGATTATTGGGGGGGGCGGGGGAGAGAAGCAGCTGAAGAACTACTTCCTGCACTTGGCAAGTTGTGTCTCTCCTGTGAGGGAGGGAGGTTGCCTGGGACTCCCATCTGAAATGCTGCCAGGCCCTTGAGTAGCAACACCTCAATCCTGGCTTACCCTCCCAAGAGAAGGGAACCTGACCATACCCCCGATGGTCTTCTGCCATCCTGTTAATTTATCTGTAATCTGTACTGAACACAGGCAAGCAGGTGCTTGGCATCAGGCAGGAGAGGGGTGTTAGCTGTTTATCTAGGAAATCAGCTCTCCAGCTAATGACCGTTTTGTCCCCACAGGATATCAGCTGAATTGTTCATCCCTTGTGAGTTGAAGCATTTATGATGGGATATGACCAAGTGAGGTAAACTGCAAAAGCCTCAGTCATTTCTCTGAAGCTGCTGGTCTTCCTCCAAATAAAATGTTTCCTGTCTTCCCACTTTCAAACCTTTTTGCTATGATCACCTGCAAAACTTTCAATAAATAGTTAACTTTGTAATAATATCTGATTCTTCTTGCTTAATTCTGTTCAGTGGCGCAAGGTGTTGGGACAGCAAGAGTGGCCTTGGTCCAGGCTCCTGGGGGTTCTGCAGCATTGCCAGACATGCAACTTACTGGCTCAATGCCAAGCAGGCCTTGTCTTCCTTAGCAACAGGCAAGACTTTCCTGCTGCCTGGAATTTGATCACTGAAGTACAGTTTTACAGAAAAAGCTTACCTCCTCTCCCCTGGCCAAAGCTCTAGTGGGGAAGCCATTTTATTCCAGTCCTGGGGATCATTTTCAGTGGAGAAATGGGGGACGACTTCCTCCTCCCCCAGTTTATTTTTAGAAGAGATTGGATTTATACCCCACCCTTCACTACCCAAAGGAGTCTCAGAGCGGCTGACAAACTCCTTTCCCTTCCCCTCCCCACAACAGACACCCGGTGAGGCAGGTGGGGCTGAGAGAGCTCTGGTAGAAACTGCTCTTTTTCAAGGACAGCTCTTATCAGAACTAAGGTTGTCCAGCAGCAGTGAGTGGAGGAGTGGGGAATCAAACCCAGTTCTCCCAGATCAGAGTCTACACACTTAACCACCACACCAAACTGGCTCTTATTTTTACAGTTATTTACATCTTGGAGAGCTTGATCACTGTTGTCTGCCATGTACCTTTGGCTCTTAAACTCCCATTTAGAAACTGTAAAAGAATGAGCACTATTCATTTTATTTTGAAGAAACTACAACTCAACATTTATTCCACTCTTTGTGCCATGTGCTCTTCAGAATGTTCTTAGCTCCATACATTGAGAGCTTTAGCATTTGGTATAGGATCATGGAGATGAGTCACTGCCCTTGAGTACACCTCTCTGAAGAAGCTGTAAGCACAAGGGAGATGGTTTCAATGAAAAAAGGAATTTAACACTCAACCTCTGGTGTGTCTTCTCTAGACAAAATAGGGAAAACCAGCAGAAGGGTTAATAGCTTATTGGATCAGCCTATGATTAAAATGAGACAGCTGTCCAATACTCATGTAGTCAGCAGTGGATAGATCTGCCTGTAGAACTGGAAAACCAAGGAACTTTGGTTATGGTAGACCATCATAGCTCTAGGCATGCTGGAAAAGGAGATATCTAAATACAGACAAATCTCTACTACTGCTGTTGGCTACTGTAGAGACGAAGTACCACTGATGGGGGGGAAACACCTTCGGGGGGGGGCTTAATATTTCCAGATGAGCAGCTCCCTACTTGAAATGCTCTCGATTTGCTACAGCACAGCCAAAGCAGCAGCCACTATTGGGGAAATGAATCAGAGGACAACCTTAGCTGCCACGGTTGTCTCTAAGGGGGAACCTCTGGGGCAGGAAAAGAGAGAGAGTACAGTCACAACGGCTGTGGTAATACTGATGCAAGAAATCGAGCACCTAAACTTGGCTGCTCTCTCAGCCCTGTCCTCCAGTAGGTCACCTTCCCTGAAAGATGCCACCTAGCAGATTCCCAGAAAGCCTGCTGGGCTGTTTTACATATAAAGGGTGCCGAGGGATAGCTTTATTCCGGACCACTTCCCCTCCACATTTCAGAGGAAAGTTTTGTCTCAGCACAAGAAAATCCCAGTACCTCAACACTGCATTGTTTTTAATCACAAGCCTATTACAACTTGCCACAGAACTTAGGTGTTAATGCTGAGGGCCACCACACACTAGTGCAGACCAGAAGCATCTGCTTGTCCCCCAAATCTGCACTCACTAGCTCACAACATCCACCTCATTTTCAGACACTGGAGAGGAATCTGGCCAGACATACTCATTATTAAGGAAGAACTCTACCCCACCAACATCTATCTCATCCTCTTCTAAGATGACTAACTGGGGAGGCAGCTTACAGTCCAAGTGATGCTGCAAGGGGCTCCTTAGCAACACTTGAGCCGGCGTTGCTTCTGCACCTGGGGTAGCCTCTCCATAGGATGGAAGCCCTTGGTTCTCATGACTGGGCAAGGGGGCAGCAAGTCTCGTAGCCCCATTCTCCAACACAGGCAACTGGTGATGAGCTGTCAGACTTTCCGGCTGGGGAATGCAATCATTACTGGATTCAGATGTTGCAAGTGGACGGCAACTATGAACAGGGTCCAGAAAGGGAACTCCATTTGTCAAACCAGGAGCACATCCCTCCTCTCCTTCGAGGGAACTCTTTTCTTCCTTGATCCACTGTGGACAAAGTGACACTTCTGCAGGACACCAGTGTTTTTCCTCAGCTCCAGCCCTTCCTAGTGGAATACTTGTTTTTGGTGCAGGGCCTGAGGTAGGAACACCCTCTGGAACAGTGGTATCCTGGGACTCCCCCGCAGCAGCCAGGTTGTGGTACTGCTCACCCTCAGCTGATTGGTCTAGCGCGGGCAGCTGGTATGAGTCTCGGTCAGCCAGAGTCACAGCACTCGTCGCAGCCTCTCCTACGGGAGGCTTCTCGGAGAGAGACGAACTCTCTGCTTTCGCAGGCAGAAGTGTAGTAGAGCTGGCTGGCTGTTGTGTGGCTGCTACTTCTTGCTCTGTATATCTGGGTTGAGGTAGGGAGCCCTCCTCTGTCAAAGCACACACGGAGTCTGCTGCTCTCTTGGGCTGTGCAGCAGACGGCTCTTGCACCACCTCCCAGCAGCCACCGTTGATAACCTTCCTAAGCTTCACTCGGCCAACCTGAGCAGCTTCTTGGAGAGGGTTTACGCTCGGAGCTGGCTCACTGGAGCTGCGCTTTCTACCCTTAGTAGCCTTTGGAAGCAGTGAGGGACTCAAGAAGCCATGCAAATGGCTGAGCACTTCAGCTCCTTTGGCATCATCTTCCACAGGAGGACTTTTCTTACGCCAGAGGCGCCTAAGGGACTTTGAGGTTTTGTTGGAAACAACGACACTATGGTCTTCAGTGGTGCCTGGCATGGGTAAAGGCGATGAGGAGAGTTTTGGACGGCTCAGCTTGATCTTTTTCGACTCTTGCAAGCCAGCCACAGCTTGCTTAACTCTGGGTCTGGCTTGCTCTGTGTGCTGACTGCCAGTTTCCTCATTGCCCATTATATTCTTTACTGTGCCTGCAAGACGTGTTTGAACTTTGGCCGTTAAGAGTTCTGTTGTAGCTGATGCGTCTGTAGGCATCTGGTGTTTGTCTTCACTCTTCATTGCTGGTTTTTCCTTGACAGTCTTTTTCTGGTTAGTATTGCTATTGCTGCCTGTTCCTTTGGTGCATGGAAGCTGCCCTGCTGCCTGCTGCTTTCTTGCAAGTAGGTGGTGGGATATCAGGCAGCAAACATCAGAGGCAGGAGGAGACTGCATCAGACTTCCCTCTGAAATGGATACAGGACTGGACAACTGTAGGCACTGCCGGTTCAAACGCTGGCCCGGTGCTTTTTTTACCAGCTTTCCTCCCTCTAGCTGTAGAGATTCTAGTTCCGACACCTGAAGCTGCCGGGCAGCTTCAAGAACATCCTGGGCTTCTTCCCGGGACACTTCCATCTCGGAGGTGTAGAGGAAGTCCACCAGCTTACGCAATGGCCCAATCTTCAGTCCCCGGAGCTCCAGCACCACCTTATGTCCCTTGGGAGGCATCTCACGCTCCAAACGCTCAGTGAAGAAGGGGCTGCAGGCGGTCAGGATACAGCAGTGTGCAGGAACAGCCTCTCCTGTAAATAACATCACCATTAGCAGCTACTGTGTCAGCAAATAACCCTGGATGTACTGTGACCCCCAAAACTCCTCTTGGCAAAGGGTGTTCCCCAGGACCTGGCCTCCAGCCCCCCAAAAACTATTGCCTTGGGACTTCAACGGCTATTTTTCAAGCACGTCTTTTCCAAGCAGCAAGTAACTCATTCCTGTTCATATGTAGAGCTGTACTATTTAACCTTCCTTACACATAAACACACATTATAATTTCAGACAGTTCTGTTTAATGTGTGTAAGTGCAGCGCTCAGTTATGTCTGTATCCTTATTTGTTCCCATAATTCCTTCTGCATCTGTTAACATACAAAAAAAAGTTAATTTAACTCATCCCAGCTTCCCCTACACACATCCCCCCCCAAAGTTCTGAGGAAACTCTGCTGCTAACAGAAATAACCCACTGTATAGAATGGCCTATAAATTATTTAAATGCATGTACTTGCACAAATACACTTTTTCTTGACACAAATATGTTTCACTTTGTTTTACCAGATTTTTTCTTATGAAAAAGACTCCAATTTCTGTTCCTGTATCCTTGGGGGGGGGGCAGGAATTCATTTATATCCTACTGTTCTCCCCAATATGAACCCAAAGCTGCTTATATCAATCTCAATACATCAATTCTATATCCTCACAACAACCCTGTGAGGTAGATTAGGCTGAGAAAGAGTGACTTGCCCAACGTAAACCAGCAAGTTTCCATGGCAGAGTAGGGATCGAACCTGGGTCTCTCCCAGATCGTAATCTGACAATGTGGTCACTACATCACACTGGCTCTGAAATGTTACAAACCAAGAACACTACTTGCCTAATATGTGAGTTCCATTAATATCCTACCCATTACTATAGTCAAAGCACATCAAAGTAACATTCGTAGACGTAATCCAGCTGAAGTTAAATACAACAAGCTCCCTATTAACTTCAACTGGAGAGTTCAACACGTATTTATCTCTCTCTCCAATTTAAGGGGAACTAGTATAGCAGAGTTACACTCTACTTAGCTCCTGAGATCTGATGAGACTGGGCTAACCTGAGCTATCCAGTTTTGAGCTACTTAAGCCTTATGTACAGCATAAGGTAAAAAATGAGAGGTAACATCTCATGCTAGAATGGAAATTACACCCTTTGCCTTTCAAGCCATTCTCAGTAATATCAGAGGATTGGGTACAGGCTGAACTTATTCAATAATGAGGGAAAGGTACTCTGAATATGCTCAGAGGCAATTTTAGTACTTCAGATGTGTCAAGGCTAAGCCATGGCACTGAAAGCAACTAAGGGGCACACATCACTTCCTATAGAAAACCACAACTCTACCAACACGAATTAGGGATATTTTTGGAACCTATGCAGTCAAGCTCCTAGTTATGACTAGAACAACACTTCACATTTTTAACAGCAGTATCAAAATTTTAACTGTAAGCCTTTCACACATCTTAATACTTAGAATTCGTAGACCCAGCACAAGGATTGTGTAGCCAAGTGATGTGGCACCAAGTTTTCCCCATCAAAGCACCCTTTCCCTATTTCTTATCAGTTGTAAGACAATTACCTTCGGCCTGCAGGACAACATCACAAAATAAGTCAGCCCTCTGCTGGCGATGGAGCTGCAAGAACACCATGCGAAGTAGGCGGGAATTCCGATACAGAATCTTGGGATTTGCAGCTGGAGAGCCCATGGCAGAAGAACTTTTGTTAGGTGCCAGATATCTGCAAACACAAGAGCTGGGAATTTAATTACCATCCTCTACAAGCAGTGCTCTTCACAGCTTTACTCATACTTCTAGCCTCCAGCCAGCAGACAATGAGAAAGTTCCATGCAAGTTTTCTTTCTTCTAATTTCCATACCACCTTCTTAACTCAATTTATCGTATTCCTCCACAGTACTCATGACCCTGGAGAGTTATTTCAGTTTTACCTCAGTGAATAAGTATAGAATGGCACGGTAGAAAATACAAGCACTTGTGATTTGCCAGCAGTACCTGTTATTTTTCAGCTGAACCAAGTAATAACATTCCAAATGTTTTAGTGCTCTTCCCTTACCACACAGACATATCAGACCTCAATCATTCAAGTAGCTAATGTACAACTTGAATACTGTACACTGACAAGAGCTCTCCAGGAGGGGGTGATCTATAAGTTAACTATTAGTCAGGAGCACAGAAATCTTGCCTCTAAATACCACTTACCAGGGCTTTTTTTGTAGAAAAAGCCCAGCAGGAACTCATTCGCCTAATAGGCCACACCCAACAGCAGAGACCCATTAGCATATTAGGCCACACCCCACATGTTACCAGAAGTGTGGTCATCGAACCACACCCACCTTTTGCTTCTTATTCTGTTTAATTTGTTGTCAAAACCCTGGGCTTTTTTTGTAGCAGGAACTTCTTTGCATGTTAGGCCACACACCCCTAATGTAGCCAATCCTAATGAGTTTCTGCTGTTAGGTGTGGCCTATTATGCTAATGAGTTCCTGATGGGTGTGGCCAACTCAGGAGCCAGCCGGAACTCCGTTCCTGTGCGTTCCTGCCCAAAAATAGCCCTGCCACTTACAATCAATCCAGAACTGTAGAAAACCCAGTCAGCTGTAGAATTAAAACTGGTAGACTTAAAGCCAGAAAGGAACTAAGTCGTAAAACCAAAAACTGTCTACATAGCACTACCACAGTGAGGTCTACCAGATGTCCCAGTTCCCTTAAAAGCAGCATAACACTACAGAACATAACAGAAATTCTTTATATCAGAGGCCTATTACTCCATAGCATTCTATAGGAAAGCACACTGTGATTCCAATGTATCTCTTACAGGAAAAGAAATCAAAACTATTTGAATTGTAAACAAGTGGGTGGGGGTTTTTTTGATCCAGCAAGGTTCAGGGGCCATTTAAAAAAAATACATATTTTGAATGATTTCTACACTTGCTGTGGAAGACCCAATGCCACTCACCAGGCCTGGAAAGTACATTCAAACTGGAACAAGCACAAATGAAAACTATGAGAATATGGTCAACAGGACTTCCGGGGAAATGGTGCGGCACCGCAGGTGATTTTCAGGTCGCTCCTGAATCTCCCCGACCTCCTTGCTTCTTTTGGAGACACCCCCACCCCCCCGAACGCTGTATCATGTTGGGCTCCTCCTGGACCTCTCGGAGGGAGGCCAGGTGCAGGAGACTTGCCCGGTCCCTCCCGCAACGGCAGTTAGCGGGAGAGAGACTGTTTCGTCTCGATGCAAGAGCGGGTGAAGGAGCAAATATAGTTTCCATGTCTTGCCTAAGCTGCGACCTCCTTTTTAGAGACTAACAATTTGCAACATAACAAACGAGAACTGAGATAAAACGTAATGCATTTTTGATCATAAAAACAATGAAGACTGCCCCGAAAATTACCCCCAGGGATTATAATCACATCTGAGAAGAAAGCAGCTAGGAAGAGAAAGTGGGGAAATCTGGAGAGGAGCAATTTCGGGGGTCAAAAAGCATATGAGGAAAATGGCCTTAATAGTCAAGGAGACAGAATATCTAGTTAATGTAGAAGTTGGGTACCTTACGGTGGATCAATTTAAAAAGCTCTTGCTGCAGGAGATTCAACAAGCAGCTGAAGCAGCTTGCAGAAACCTTATCGAAAAAATCCAGAGTGCATATTTGGACCCGGAGGCTGTTGAAGAGCAGTCAAGCCCTCAGCAGAGCTATGGCGATGCACGAAGCTATTATTGAGGGAAGGAGTTACATGATACACAGCCCCCACCCAGGAAAGTTTTGGAGAGTATAAGAAAGCAAACATGTGCCCTAGAGGAAACAACAGAACTTTTGTCAGAGATGGCAAAGATAGAAGGAGACCCTTTAAAAGAGAGCCTCCCAAAACTTGTATTAAAAAAAAAAAAGAAATGTGAGAAAAAAGAAAGTAAGGAGCAGTGAAAGGAGACTTAGCAATGGTAAAAGAGGACTGAGAGCTGTTTTATGGAAACTCAAATGGGGAAACCAAAATCCAAATGTATACAAGGAAATAAGACATTTAACCACGGTTGTCAAGAAAAACACGCTTTGGAAACTAAAAAAAAATAATAAGATATATGATCAGTGAATCAGAATACTTATTATGGCATATTTAATGGAGTTAATTAGATAATAGGATGATGAGAAGCAAAAGTGAGCCATAATTTGGGAAAATGAGGCTGTTGAAGAGCAGTCAAGCCCTCAGCAGAGCTATGGCGATGCACGAAGCTATTATTGAGGGAAGGAGTTACATGATACACAGCCCCCACCCAGGAAAGTTTTGGAGAGTATAACAAAGCAAACATGTGCCCTAGAGGAAACAACAGAACTTTTGTCAGAGATGGCAAAGATAGAAGGAGACCCTTTAAAAGAGAGCCTCCCAAAACTTGTATTAAAAAAAAAGAAATGTGAGAAAAAAGAAAGTAAGGAGCAGTGAAAGGAGACTTAGCAATGGTAAAAGAGGACTGAGAGCTGTTTTATGGAAACTCAAATGGGGAAACCAAAATCCAAATGTATACAAGGAAATAAGACATTTAACCACGGTTGTCAAGAAAAACACGCTTTGGAAACTAAAAAAAAATAATAAGATATATGATCAGTGAATCAGAATACTTATTATGGCATATTTAATGGAGTTAATTAGATAATAGGATGATGAGAAGCAAAAGTGAGCCATAATTTGGGAAAATTAAGCTTATAATACTCTATTCATGATAATAGGAAGAAGAGAAGTGAGAGAGTTAGCTATAACCCAGGAAAACCTTTCTTTAAAGTTATCTTTAATATGAATTGTCGGATTTTATTTTAGAGTTTTTCTTTACAATTCTTCCTATGTAGTTAAATATGTTATATGGGAAATAATAATGATATTTGTATGACTTACTTGCTGAGTAATGAACAGCCCTATTTAGGAAGAATGAAAAATACAATGAATCTGATATGTGTGAACGTGGTTCAGATATTATTAGTATATCTGTTTATTTAAACTTGTTATTTCTGAGATCTATAAAATTGTTTTGTTAGAACTAGATGCTGGTAAGAAAACTGTTCTGTTATAATAGGATGCTGGCAAATGCAATATTTAGTAGCATTTTGGAGACAGGTTTTTTAAAAAGTTATTTTGTTTTGACTTTATAGTTTCTATTATATTTTTCTTTTTTAATTTTAGAATACGGTTAAATATGACTAACATAAGGTCTCAATATCGCAATCTACAGAAGGATCAAGTAGAAGGCTAAAGTTTTAAAAACCGGGAATTGTAAAATGGCTGAAAAATGAGAAATTAGAAAATGGGAAAGTCGAGGCCACTTAAACATTTGGTAAGGATCCAAATCCGACCATAGGTACTACAGATTAAACTTGATTTAAATTGCTTAGACACTTGAAAGGATGTTGGTCCATCAAGATAGCCTGACTATAGTTTTATATATTTTTTTCCTTAAAAAAGGGGGGGGAATAAAAATAAAATAAGGTTAATAGTAAAATGTTATCAGATAATGTAATTTTGATAAACTATATATCTTTAATGTCAGATCACTGGAATAGTTAAACTCAGGGCTTTTTTGTAGAAAAAGCCCAGCAGGAACTCATTAGCATAATACGCCACACCCAACATCTGAAATCCATTAGCATATTAGGCCACACCCTGACACCACAGCGCATTAGCATATTAGGCCGCAGCCCCGTGTTGCCAAAAGTGTGGTCATCCAGCCACACCCACCTTTTGCTTCTTATTCTGTTTACCTTGTTTGTTGTCAAAACCCAGGGCCTTTTTTTGTAGCAGGGACTCCTTTGCATGTTAGGCCATACACCCCTACTGTAGCCAATCCTAATGAGTTTCTGCTGTTGGGTGTGGCCTATTATGCTAACGAGTTCCTGCTGGGCGTGGCCAACTCAGGAGCCAGCCAGAACTCCATTCCTGTGCATTCCTACCCAAAAATAGCCCTGCTTGGATGCAGTCATCATGCAGAATGAACTGGGATTCCTGCCCAGAAATAGCCCTGGTTAAACTTATTGTTTGATTGAAACATGCGATATGCTAGGATTTGCTTTAAACTTATGGCTAAGAAGAACATAAATGGTAACAAACCTGTCTGTTATGTTTGAATTATGTGTGGAAGATACCAGTTTTTGTCTCATCCAATTTGTTGGTTTGAAAACTAATAAAAACAATTATTTTAAAAAAAGAATATGGTCAACTGAACAACCAACCTACCTCACTAGATTAAATTTAACAAGTTTGTGTTGGTTAGAAGCCTATCCTATCATCAAAAGGTCAATAGTTTATGTGATGGGAGACTAAGGAAAGAAAACACACTCTAAGTTCCAGAAAAAGAGAGTACAGCATATGTAGAAACGGTATTTCAAATAATAATTTGGAGGTTTTTAACAAGAGCCAAAGTTTGGTACCCCAAGACAGACAAGTTAATGAAAAAACCTAATCAATTTTCAGAGTAATATAACAGAGGCGTGGCACCACAGAACCTGCTCTTCGTCTGCTGCTTCAGCAGTTTTCTGCAGCTGCCAGAGATTTTTCCATTCCAAGGATCAGACTGCCACAGTTATAATGACACTTGGAAAAGAGAATTCCCTCTCAAAATGTGTTACTCCTTGCAGCTCCACAGGTTACACACACACACACACACACATATATATGCAATTAGAACAACATACTTCTTACTACTTTAC